CACCCCCTCCCGACTAGCAAACCTCAGTTCTTCCTCTGTTAGACTGTTTTTTAGAGCAATTTCAGGCTTGCAGAAAAATTGGGAAGAGAGTAGAAAGTTGCCGTATAGAGTCCCTCACTCCCCACCCTTAGCAGTTTTCCCTATGATTAACATCTTGCTTTGATGCAGGACATCTGTTACAACTGATGAGCCAATAGTGATGTTGTCGTTAGCTACAGCTTACATTACTGCTCACTCTTGGGGCTGTATGTTCTATAGGTTTGGACAAATGTGTCACGACATGGATCTACCTTTACAGCATCATGCAGAGTAATTTCACTGCCTTAAAAACCCCCTAAAAGGTCTAGATTGTGGGTTAGCATACATGAAATAAAGTGCACACCTGAGTCTGTTACCTGCAAATCCACCACTCTGATCAAAGCTGTAGAACATTTCGCATCACCGCAGAAAGCCCCTTCATGCATCCACCCAGCCAATTCCCGCCTTGTGACAACATCCATGTGGCTGGCTGTGTCAGTTCTTCCCTTCCGTTCATTGCTGAAGCATATCCATTGTATGGATGCACTACAACTTATTTGTCCAATTTCTCCCTGGTGGACATTTAGGTCGTTTCCAGTTCTGGCTATTATGGGTAAAGTGGATATATGCAGTCCTTTTTGGGGGGAGGGGAGGGTATATGCCCTCGGAGGAGAGTTGCTGAGCCAGAGAGTAGGTGTGCCGGTTATTAAGTTATTATACTGTCTCTTGGGTCCCAACACACTTTGTTGTCCTCTGCTTCATGATGCCAGAAAGGGGACTCTGCAAACCGCTTCATGATGCCAGAAAGGGGACTCTGCAAACCACATACATGCTGTGCCAGCTGGCTCCATCTTCGGTTCTGCTACCATGGGGTGTTAGAGGGAGGCTGCAAGGCTGGAGGAGGAAGGAGGGACGTGCTCCTTCCTGTAAGCATCACCCTAGCAGCAAGCAGCTTAGTTCCATGGCACCAGTTGAATGCAATTTTCAGATTTCCCAACACTGACAAAAACCGCTTCATTACATCCCAGCTCTGAGGCACCAACACCAGGCAACCAACCAGTGCCCCGTCCTCCTCAGAGTCTGGATCCCAACCCCACCAGGGGGCCCTCTTCTGAGCTCAGAGACCCCAGCACTAGCTAGGCTCTGCCCCCCAGAGACTGAGTTCCACCTGGGAGGGGCCCTCTCTAAGTTGCTAACTTTGAGGAGCTATAGCCCCTTCCTTTTGTTCCAGCCGTGGAGGGGGGCTGCTGTAACAAAAGACCATAAACCAAGTGGCTTAAACAACAGAAATGTACTGTCTCCCAGTTCGGGAGGCCAGAAGTCCAGGGTCAAGGTGTCAGCAGGGCCGTGCATCCTCTGAAGCTGCTAGGGAATGATCTGTCATCATTTCTGCTTCCTGATGGGATCCAGACTGATCGAGAAAATGGTAATAGAAGTGGTGTCAGGAATCATATCCCAAAAGAGGGGCTTTGGGGATTGGTTTGTTCATTTGCATCTTCAGGCTTGAAAGCCTGAAGTTTCAGGGTCCCACTCCTTCCCATCCACTACCCTGCCTTTCACATGTGAAATGTTGAGACGCTGGGGATTCAACCGCCATTGGGATTCTGTAACCCATGCAATTAAACGCTGTGCTTGATTTTCAGCACTTGTCAGCCCCGTGGCTACAAAAAGTGAGAGCATTTTTAGGGCTGTCATGGAAGATCTCTGCTGCCTAGTGAGGGGATAGCCATTCTCCTCAAGACCCACCGCAACCATCCCCTGTTGTCATTAGACCCATAACTAGGGTCCAATGTCAGCATGGTCCAGGGGGACAGGTACATGCTAAGAGCCAGGAGAAAATAGCTTATACACCAAAAAAAATAGCAAGATTTTTTGCTAGTAAATACTGGCAGAAACCTGGGGGCATATGTGGGGGAGTGGATTCTAAGGATGTTATACCAAGGAGGATGGACTCTAACATTAACATTGGGTTGGGCACAATTTATTGAGCTGGCTGCATTTATCAAAGATTCTATATTTAATGTTAGCCCATGCAGCTGGAAGGGACACTTAACAGCTTGCTTGCTTGGTTGACTTAAACTTGAACTCAGCTATGGCCTAAATTCAATGATATCAAGATGCCAGAACAACTTTGGCTTTGGGAAAGGACACAAAGGTGTAATTCCTAGAGAGAACTGCAGAGATTAGTGCCTTGAACTTGAAAGTTGCAGTTAATGGTGATGTCTCTCATATCCCCATTTGTCTATTTGACTGTGTGCAGAAGGTGGATGGATCGTGAAGAATAACTGTGGAATATTGTAAGCTTAATCAGGCAGTGACTCCAACTGCAGCTGCTGTTCCAGATGTAGCCTCTTATATTGAAGCAGAACATCACAACTCCTGGCCCCTGGTATGCAGCTATTGCCTTATCAAGTATTTTACTCTATACCAATTTGCAAAGTCCACCAGAAGCACTTTGTTTTTACCTGGAAGGGGTAACAGTACAGCTTTACAGTCTTGCCTAATGGCCATGTCATCTCTCCTCTATGATACAATACAGCACTTAGAGTACTTAGTACTTTGATTGTTTTACCATTCCTCACAACATCCACTGGTCCACTATACTGATGACATAATCCTGATTGAATCTGATGAGCAAGAAGCAGAAAGTACTATAGATGCCTTAGTAAGGATATGAAAACTAGCAGGTAGGAGATAAAACCCATGAAATTAAGAAAGTAAAACCTCAGTGAAGTTTCTAAAACTTCAGTGCTCTGAAGTATGTAAAGATACCCTCTTCAAGGTGAAAGACAGGATGCTGCACCTTGCACAAACTATCTCTAAAAATAATGTTTGGTGGACTCTTTTGGGTTATGGAATTTAGATCACATATGTACATGTGTGGGCTACGTTGGCCTATTTACTGTGTAACTCATAAGGCTGCCAGTTTTGTGTGGGGAGCAGAGCAAGAGATAACTATACAGTGAGTCCAGGCTGCAGTGCAAGCTACTCTTCCAACTGGGTCCTTGTGACCCAACAGATCCAATAATACTAGAGTGTCTATGGAGAGTAGTGATATTGTGTGGAGTCTCTGGCAAGCACCATTAGGAGAATCACTGTGCAGATCTCTAGGGTTTTAGAGAAAATCCATCCCCTCTTCTCCCAATAACCATTCTCCTTTGGCTTACTATCAAGCCCTGGTAGAAACTGAACTCTTAAGATTATGGGTGACCATGCAACCTGAGTTTTCCATCAGGAACTGGGTGTTTGTCTGACCTTTCGAGCCATAGGGTGGGCATGTATTGCAGTGTA